TTTTCTGAGAATCAGGAGACCATAGACGATACCCTTTTGACTCAGAGGCATAACCAAGGAAAATGCATTTGACAGCTCTCGGGTTTAATTTACCCGTACTGGAATGAGCATAAGCAGGACATCCAAAAACTCTTAAGATAGAGTAGTCAATAGGATTACCTGACCAAACTTCCTCTGGAATTTTGAAATCAAGGGATGAATGTGGAGATCTATTCACCAAATAGCAAGCAGTAGAAACGACCTCGGCCCAAAAATCACGCCGTTTCCATAACCCAGCATTAGAGAGCATACAACGAGCTCTTTCCAATAGTGTCCTGTTTAGACGTTCGGCAACACCATTTTGCTGGGGTTTACCAGGCAAGGTCTTGTGCCTGGCGATTCCATTTGCCGCACAGAAGTCATTGAAATCTGACTCACAGAATTCCAAGCCATTGTCTGTCCTGAGCTTCTTGACCTTTTTCCCTGTCTGAGTCTCAACAAGTATTTTCCACTTTTTGAAAATAGGAAAAGCCTGATTTTTGTGTTTCAAGAAATAGACCCAAACCTTACGGGAAAAGTCATCAATAATAGACATGAAATATCTACAGCCTCCCATAGACTGGAATTTAGTCGGTCCCCATAAATCGGAATGTATATATTCCAATACATCTTTGGTACGGTGTGTAGCAGTAGAGAAACTAACCCTCTTTTGTTTCCCAAAAACACAATGCTCACAAAATTGTAATTTACCCGTACCTGAATCACCAAGGAGACCTTTCTTGCTCAGGAGATGCATGCCTTTCTCACTCATATGCCCCAGACGCATATGCCATAGTTGAGTGAGATCTGCATCAGACATTGATGAGGATACCGCTACTGAACCTGTCACAGTACTACCATGCAACACGTACAAGCTTCCAGATCGAGAAGCTTTCATGAGAACAAGAGAGCCTTTTATGACTTTCAGAACTCCACCTTCAGCTATGTACTTGCACCCCAGAGATTCCAAGGTGCCCAAGGATATCAGATTGCGTTTCAAATCAGGAATATACCGAACATTGGTAAGAGTCCTGACAACATTATCATGAGTTTTAATCTGAACACTTCCAATTCCACTAACCTTGCATTGGGTATCATTACCCATCAAGACAACTCCACCATCAACTGGTTCCAGAGAGACGAACCAGTCTTTGTGAGGACACATGTGGAACGTACAACCAGAGTCCAAAATCCACTCAGTCTTGCTCCGTTTGTCACCGGAGCTAACAGATAACATAACATCGCCTTCTGAATCACTTTCAACAACACTAGCTTCAGCAGACTTCTTTTCTCTCTCTTGCTTGTTTTTCAACTTGAAGCATTCAGTCACATCGTGACCCTGCTTCTTGCAGTACTTACAGGATTTGTTGGACTTACGTCCTTTGGACTTGGATCTAGATTTTTTATTGCTACTCTCTGTTTCAAGTGAACGACCCCTTACAGTCAAGCCTTCACCTTTGTCCTCAGACTTAATTTCAAAGTCAAACTTTTCTTTGGACAATAGGTTTGACTTAACATTGTCAAAAGTAAGGGTATCACTACTATTACCATACAGCATAATTTCCTTGAAATGCTTGTACGATTTAGGGAGAGAGACAAGCAATAAAACAGCACGATCCTCATCGTCAATTACGACATCAATATTTTCCAAGTCCAATAAAATAGAATTAAATTCATCCAAATGAGATTTAATCGAAGTACCTTCCGTCATAAGGATTGTGTACAGACGCTCCTTCAGGCGCAGCTTGTTCGCCAGAGATTTGGCCATATAAAGCGACTCCAGCTCAGACCATAAATCTGACGTAGTCTTCTCACTCACCACCTCACGTAGAACCTCTTTAGACAGGCACAACTGAATGGTTGAACGTGCCTTGTCATCCAAATCTTCCCAATCTTCATCTGTCATTGCAGCCGGTTTCTTCTTCTTCCCAGCCAGCGCTTTCTTCAAACCGTTCTGGGTTAGAACGGCTTCCATCTGAACCTTCCAGATAGAGAAGCTAATTTTCCCGTCGAACTTCTCGATATCGAACTTAGTAACCGTCGACATCTTTGAAAATAATTCTCAATTAAACCGCTCTGATACCACTTGTTAGGAATATAGCGGAATAATGCGGAAGCGAAGAATCGAAAATTGAGAATTATAGAAGTTAAATAATAGGGAAAATATGTAAACGAAGAAAATTGTATAAAATGACAAATAAATAACTAAAATGAGAAAATATAAAAAATATATATTTATAATCTCTCAAGAAGATAAAACAAAGCAAATATATAGATATATGTATTCTACGTGAGAAAAGAAGGAAAAGCAATTGGTAATGAAAGAATTGCTTACAGAATGAATTGCATGATTACAAAGAAAGCTTAATCTATTTATAATTGCAAAAGAGAGAATTATGCGGCAATTCCGAGAAGCTCCGCAATGGTCGACGAACATGCAAGAAGTGGACGTGCAAACGTGGAGATTATTGCCGACAAATGTTGTCTTCATGGGTTTGAATGAATTTTAGCCACATTCTAACAGTTAGAACCCTAGACACTCTCTTTCATTCTCCTTCATATTTTTAGGTTAGAATAGGCTTAGATTTATGTTTCTTAACACTTTTGAAGCTTGTAATCTTGGATTTGAAGCTTGGATTCCAACAATTCAAGATTCCACCATCCATTTTCAATAGAGAAGCTTTTCTTCCTTTTATCTCTTTATTTTGCAAGATTTATGTTTGTTACTTATGCTTTTGTGTTCTTTATGCTATTTAATCATGAGTAGTTAGTTTATGGACTTGAGTTAGGGTTGTATTATCTATCTTGATGCTTGATTTGTGATTATTGCAAAAAGGGGAAGAACTCCAACCTAGGGTTCATGTGTTTGTGAAGGTTTTGTATTTATATCTTGTTAATGTTTGATGTACACATTCATTAGCTTGTTTTTGGAGGATTCCTTGCCTCAACGAGAGTTGGGTGATGAATCCAAGCCACCCCTTGCATAGACCCGATTTCTTCCTACGAAAATAGGGGAAATTGGGGACTTTAGATGCTTTTGTGCTTGATGGACTTGGAATTGATTCACCACGAAAGTGGGGCAATTTCTTGTTCTAATCCTTGTTTATTAATCACGAAAATGGTTCATAGACTAGGATACCTACGTGCATTCCCGCTTGATTCCTTGCTTACTTGTTCTCCCTAATCCCTTAGGTTGTTAAAGCATCTAGATGATAATGCTCCCAAGCTTGAGTCCTATTTCTTTATTTTGTGTTTATCTTTGTGTATATGTGTTAGTCTTATCATTTCCTTAAACTTGTAGATTGCTTAGCTTCTTGTTGATTGCCTAGTGCTAGTGCCTAGTTTCTTGTGATTGCGTATTGCGTGCCATATCTCCCAATCCCCTGAGGACGACATAACACACCCGAGCTCACATCTTATTTTTGCTACAATCATTATAAGTAAATATTCATTTTATAAACTCTCATTGATATTTTGAAATATTAGTTTCTTCATATAAGATTGATTAGATAATTTGAAATTTTTGTTTTTAAATTCTTAAAATTGAAAAAGTTTTGTCTCATACATAATATATCACATTGTAATAAAATATATATTTTTATTTACAACAAATAAAATTTGATTTAAGTAAAGAGAAGGCAATATATAATAAAAATAATTATAATATGACATTCAAATTCTTTTAGGATATAGGATAGGGGCATGTAAGGTATTTATCGGGGCTGTGATTGGATTAGACAATATCGAAGATGGTGCGAGAAGAGGAGGTGGTGTCACCGGGCGACAGCGATATATATATATATATATATACATATATATATATATATATATATATATATATATATATATATGTATATATATATATATATATATATATATATATATATATATATATATATATATATATATGTATATATATATATATATATATATATATGTATATATATATATATATATATATTTTCTTGGTAGGGTTTGTAGCCATGAATCGTTTGTCCATGTTCATCTTGTCTTTGTCCGATGAAGTTTTGTATGTTGCAGTGGAACATGCCATGTCCGATGAAGTTTTGTATGGCAGACTATTGAAGTCGTCATTGGGTTTTCTTCTCGGGCACGATATCTGAGTCTGCATAGTCAGCTGCAGTTGCGCCACTAAGAGTGAGTACCTTGGCAAAACCAATATTTTAATTGGACTTCTGATCTTGACTTCTTGTAGAAACCGGCCAACCAATTAGTTTGGATGAACAAAATCTTTATCTGTTTAAAGGTCTCCGCTCAGATAAGATGAGAAAAGTAGTTCTTGGAATAATTTTATTATTGATCAATCCGTGATAAAAAGATATATTTATAAGGATACAAAGAGTACAGTCAAAATAAGAATGATAAATAGTAATATTTCTAATAATATAAGGAGAGTGATAATAAATTTTAGTGTGCCTAGAAATCTAGAATATAGAGTCGTAATATGTTTATGTATTAGTTGATAGACAATTATATATGGAGCTGATAAAATTTGAGATGTTTTAATTATTAGGAGGTTGGTCTTCATTAAAAATAATTGCGGGTAAGATATGTTAGTTTCTTTACTACGCCATGCCATATTGCCATGTACTTCAAGCAGCCTTGCAAATGATTGCAAGAACAAATTTTCTTGTAGCTTAGGAAAGAAGAGCATTGCCCGACTACTCAGTTAGTCATAGGGGTGAAGTTTAGAAAGAAGAAAGAAGCATTATAACTTTGATGCATGATCACCTCTACCTTGAAATCGTAGCTAAATGAAATGACTAGCTACTACGATTGTTGTAGGCCGGAGACAGGCAATTCATGGCAAAAACTAAAGTTATTGAATAATATATATATATATATATATATATATATATATATATATATATATATATATATATATATATATATATATAAATAATGAACAATCTTTTCCCTCTAGCTTGCCAAATAAAATTATAAACAATGAACAATCTTGCTTGCCAGATACGATTTGAATAATACCCCAAACGCAGAAGTATCTTAGCTTATTTATGTGGATCAAACAACTTGAGGGCAAAATAGTTCATTATATTCTTCTTCCATTTTCGGTGTTGCTTTTGACTACTTAGGCTTGGCAAGTGTTCTCTTCCGTCCAGGCACTCCAATATGGTCACCACGTCTCTGCAAACACACAAGAATATAGGAATTGAATGGTTAAACAATATGAAATTCAAGTTTAGAATAGAAGTTATATCATAAATGATTCAGAAGCTATATATGCACTATTGATCGAGGATTTGGTTACGAAAAATAATGATTGATATTAGTAGATGAGAACATGTTCAAGTCAGATTATAAATATTTACTGTTATCTTCACATATTAAAATTTGGTATTTCTTTACATTTTAAGTAAATCACTAGTCACCTATCAAAAAGTTTGGATATGATCATCATACCTTGAAGCAAAGCCCTTCAAATCGATCGCAAATTGGAAATTCTCTAGGGCAACAATGATTTGATCTTTCACAACAAATGCCATCTTTATATTCACAACAACTATGAATTAAGCAAACTCCAAAAACTTCATAAGCGCAACAACATGTATTGTCAGGTGGACAGAAAAACCCATCCCCACAGTAGGTTGGTGTTGGTTGTGGAGGGTGTGGAGGAATTGGAGGATGTGGAGGAATTGGAGGATGTGGTGGAATTGGAGGATGTGGTGGAGGTGATGGGGGTGGTGGGCTTGGTGGTGGAGGGGATGGGGGTGGAGGTGAGGGGGCGGAGGGCTTGGTGGTGGAGGGGATGGAGGTGGAGGGCTTGGTGGTGGAGGGGATGGAGGTGGTGGGCTTGGCGGTGGCGGTGATGGGGGTGGTGGTGACGGAGGAGGTGGGCTTGGCGGGGGCGGTGATGGGGGTGGTGGTGACGGAGGAGGTGGGCTTGGCGGTGGCGGTGATGGGGGTGGTGGTGACGGAGGAGGTGGGCTTGGCAGTGGAGGGGATGGGGGCGGAGGGCTTGGTGGTGGAGGGGATGGAGGTGGTGGGCTTAGTGGTGATGGAGGAGGTGGGCTCGGCGATGGCGGTGATGGAGGAGGTGGGCTTGGTGGTGGAGGTGTGGGGGGCGGAGGGCTTGGTGGTGGAGGGGATGGAGGTGGAGGGCTTGGTGGTGGAGGGGATGGAGGTGGTGGCGATGGGGGTGGCAGTGACGGTGGAGGTAGGCTTGGCGGTGGCGGTGACGGAGGATGTGGGCTTGGTGGCGGAGGGGATGGGGGCAAAGGGCTTGGTGGTGGTGGCGATGGGGGTGGCAATGACGGAGGAGGTGGGTTTGGCTGTGGCGGTGGTGGTGACGGAGGGGGTGGGCTAGGTGGTGGAGGTGGTGGTGACGGATGAGGTGAACTTGGTGGTGGTGGTGACGGATGAGGTGGACTTGGTGGTGGTGGTGACGGAGTAGGTGGGCTTGGAGGTGGTGGATGTGGTGGTGACGGAGTAGGTGGACTTGGATGTGGTGGATGTGGTGGTGATGGATGAGGTGGACTTGGTGGTGGTGGGGGTGAGCTTGGAGGCGGTGGGTGTGGCAAACTAGGAGGTGGTGGACTAAAAGGCACTGGCGGGGGAGGTGAAGTATAAGATGGTGGACATGAAGGAGGCGGAGGTGTTAAAATTGGAAACGGCGATGGAGGTCTTGGGGATGGCGGAGTTGGAGGAATCGGAGATGGCTGTGGAGACGGAGCTATGCCTGATAGTGAATGTGACTTAGACGTCTCAACAATTATAGACGAATTTGAAAGTAATGGGACCAAACCTCCCAAACTCGGTTTAGGCAACCGTTGCAATGATAACTCTTTAGTAGGATATGATGCCATTGCATTAATTCCACAAGCACCATATCTCAAACCAGTATTCCTCCTTATGTATGCATACCCTTGCAACCCCCAAGATGTTCCCCAAGAATTCTTTACAATCCAATAGTCCTCACCACCTGCCGAACCATAACCAACTATCAAAATCGCATGGTTTATATCATCCGCATCATCCGAACAATCTCCATAGTAGATACCCTGTTTCCACAATTCAAAACCATTATTAATCTTTAACCATTCTCTCAATCTATTAAATCCCAAAATGCAAAACACAACTTACACCACTATACAGCTGAAAATCAAGTGCAGAGGCATCAATTGCCACACTAACAGGCTGCTTTGCCACAGCACAAAGCACTGCACTTTCATCTTCTGCAACATCCTTGTACTCATCAATTGTCACAGTCTTCACTCCCCCCTGTTCATCACACAAAATATAATGGCCACAAATCACAAAACTTTTCATCATTAAAAAAAAATAAAATGCAGATTAGTTCAAGAAATCCATGCCTGTTTGACAGAACAATTCCCATCCTTGCCACTATATGGGTAATCCTCTTCTACACTAATCCCACCATTGTGCAGAACCCAATCATATGCATACCCCATATACCCTCCTTCACACCCGTCATTCGACGAATCACAATGGATGAGCTGCTGCTCCGACAGGCTAACGAGCTCCCCGGTGGCTATGGCGTTTATCCCCTCTATCGCCCCCGTTGCAGAGAATGCCCAACAGCTCCCTTCAAACACAAACAAACAAAAGGTTACCCATTTGACTCTCAACCAGAGCGGCCTATTGGCCCTTTTCAGTTTAAACCGATCAGCTATGGACAAACTGAATTGAGAGACGACGAGAAAAGAGAAAAAACATACCACATTCTCCTTGATCCTTAACACGAGTGACGGCCCCACGCTTTCGCCAATCGACAGAGAAGGGGGCTTCACAAGACACCTTCTTCTTCTTCTCCCTGCCACTCTGCACTGCAGACACCATCTGAATCCCTTGCTTCTTCCTAAAGGGCATCTTAATCTTGGATGTGAAAACATCCTTAAACTCCTCATTCCTCAAATCAGCAAACTTGTTTAACCCAACTTTACCCTCCCACCTCGACCCTCTCCCCCCCACTGTCTTCTCCTTAACATACTTGAGATTCCCTTTGAAGTTCTGAAACCTCTCTTCATACTCCTCCTCATCCCTGTACACCTTCCCGTTCCTCTCCTTCCACTCCTCGAACAGCCGGAGCACCTTCTCCTCCGGGACGAACCCGCCGCCGGCGCCGGCGATGGCGAACCCGTCATAGTAACAAGAAACCCCGCCGCACCAGACCGCGGCTACGATCAAGAAAACAAGAAACCCGCAGCCCTGCAGGGAGCATTTGGTTCCCATTTACTCGCCGCATTAAACAATCAGTGATATGATTGCTGCTTACAGTCGCCGGAGGCCGGGGCTTTGCATGTCCAAAAACTCTTCGCCGGCGCTGTAAATACACTCTTTTTTCGGTGAGTTGACTTGGCGAGTGAGCAAGAAAGAAGCGTTACGGAGTAATTATATATATAGATGTTCCAGGCACATTATTGTATGTACGATGGTCCCACAGTGTTTTGTGATCATAATAAAAATATAAAGTGTCAAATAGGTTCATCTATTACTACAAAATGTTTAATTTTCGCCACGAATTAAATCAAAAGTTTAATCAGGCACACTTACTAGCTAAATTTGTTCGATCGGCTTCATGTGGCTAATCGGTTGCCTATTCAATTATTAAAAAAAAAAACAAGGAAGTAGAGCGTGGCTATCTGGCGGTCCAGATCTGGGGCAGAGCAGCAATTTTTTTTTTTTTATTGTTTTTTAAAAATTGAATAGCCAACCTGCAAAAAAAGTCAATCAAATAAATTTAGTTGGTAAGTGTGGCTGATTAGACTTTAATTTAGTTCATGGTGGGAGTTGAGCACTTCGAATAATAGATGGCCGTATTTGACACTTGCCTAATAAAAATTACATTTTAAATATGCTAAATGTACATTATTTGTGTACTGAATGTACATTATACAATATAATGTACACTCACTACACAAATAATATACATTCTCTGAATACAATGTACATTTTTAATATACGAAAAGTATATTATTTTTATACAGAATGTACATTATTTTACAGTATACAAAATATGGTTCACACATCTTGTGTAGACCATGGTCCACAAAATGATGATTGGGTTTTCCTAATTGCACCTAACAACCGAAAATGATATATGTACTTCCAGAGTTTTTTGCATTTTTGGTCCCACGACTATAGTGACACTAGCAGAATTGATTCACGACTTTTGAACCTTGCAATTTTAGTCCACGACTATTGATTTTTTTGTAAAAATGGTCCTTCCGACCACTTTTCCATCAAAATTTCACCGGAAAAAAAATTCTCCATTTTTAACAGGGCTAAAATTGACATTTTACTTATCTCAACAAAAAAAAGAAAAAAAATTGACATTTGACTACATAGTACATACAATATTACTGGGCTACATACTACTGTCCCAGGCGGCGGAGTTCCAGGAGCAGGCAAGGCTGTCAGTAAGCGGTGGAGCAGCCGTGGCATTCCCTAGGCTAGTTGGGTTATCCGGCAGCAGCATTGGAGGCGGAGCCAGCAAGCCTGCCGGATCATTCGAAGACATCAGAAAAGCTTCGCTGTATAGATTTTCGGCGAGAGAAGCGGCGGAGATTCTCAAATGCTTATATATATATATATATATATATATATATATATATATATATATATATATATATATATATATATATATATATATATTGTTGAGATAAGTAAAATGTCAATTTTAGCCCTGTTAAAAATTGAGAATTTTTTTCCGGTGGAATTTTGACGGAAAAGTGGCCGGAATGACCATTTTTGCAAATAAATCAATAGTCGTGGACTAAAATTGCAAGGTTCGAAAGTCGTGGATCAATTCTGCTAGTGCCACTATAGTCGTGAGACCAAAAGTGCAAAAAACTATGTACTTCCATGGAGTATAAACTCCCGCCACGTGTACCAATAAATTCAAGTAAATGAAAAAAAAAAAAAAAAAAAAAAAAAACAGTGGCTCACTTTGTTATTTAAATCAATCAAATAATGACACTTCAGCAGGGAGTACAAAATGGAGTACAAAGTGGGAGTACATGTAGTATTACTCACTAACTTTATACAGAATATTAACAAGGTAAATTACTTGCACTTCTAAGTGAAAATAGATGCACTTATAAGTGATTTTATTTGCACTTTTTACTTGCAAAGATACATCAGCTACTTACACTTATAACACATTTACTTGCACCAAAGTTCAAGTTATTTACAAAAATATTACTGCGTCGAATTTTTAAAATTACATCTGATTCGTTGACCTAGACACGTGGATAACTAATGGTTCTTATTTCTCTCTTGGACGACTGTTCGAATGAGAGCGTGCATATATATATGTGTGTGTGGGGGGGGGGGGGGGCGGGGGGGGAAGGGTTCGTGTGCGAGTATAGCTTCCCGTGCGGTTGTACGGTTAGATCTGAGTCGTTGATCAAGGGCTCAAATCAATGAAAATATAAAAAATAAAAAATAAAAAAAAAAGCGTGTCTGGAAGAAAGTCACGCACCTTTAAGTGTTAGATCTTAAGCACAAACTCACGCACATTAAGTACAAAACTCACGCACATAAAGCACAATTTCACGCACATTAAGCATAAAGCCCACGCATTTAAGTATTAATTCACAAACCTTATGTTTCAACAACTACTAACATTAAGCACAAAACACACGCACATTAAGTACAAAACTCACGCACATTAAGCACAATCTCACGCACATTAAGCACAAAACCCACGCACTTTAAGTATTAACTCACAGACCTTAAGTTTCTACAATTACTAACATTAATCACTGACCTCACACACATTAAGCACAACCCCTACGCAAATTAAGCACAAACTTCACTCATATTAAGAACAAAATCTCACGCACCTTAAACATAAAAGCTCACACTTTAAGTTTTACCAACTACTCACATTAAGCACAACCCCACGCACATTTAGCACAAAACTCACGCACCTTATGCACAAGATTCACGCATCTTATATACAAAACTCACGCACATTAATCACAGAACCGCTCACATTAATTTTGACATAGATGCAAAAATTACAAAATTACCACCGCATTTTTTTTAAAAAATTTTGATAATCCTGAACTTTGATTTAAGCGAGATGGATGGCTCAAATTAAACCGCACAATCGCACCTGAGTACTCTAACCGCACTAGAACCTAATTCTAATATATATATATATATATATATATATATATATATATATATATATATATATATATATATATATATATATATGGAAGGGATCAGGTGCATTTGTTGCTTCCCGTGCGGATGTACGGTGGATTAATGTGCGTGAGGTTTATACTTAATGTGCGTGAGATTTGTACTCAATGTGCCTGAGATTTGTACTTAATGTGCGTCATGTTAATATGCGTGAGTTTTGTACTTAATATGCCTGAGTATTGTGTTTAATGTGCGTGAGATTTGTGCTTAATGTGCGTGAGTATTTCAGAATTACGCTCAGAAGGAAGCAGAACAGAAACTCACGCACATTAACGCCCAAGCTTCTTGTTACTTCTTCCTTCAATTTGGCCATGGATTCTGGATTATCAGCTACCTTCAATGCAGTTGAATGTTTATATAAATGACGCACGCACAGTAAAATTTGCAAAGCAGCAAAGTGTGGATTTCTGTTGTATTATTCCTATAATTCTTAACCACCATAGCTCGCCTCCGCATCATCATCATCAGGGAGGGGACAAATGGCTACTGGGGATGGGGAAGAAGCTGACATCAATATTTTCTGCTGCATTTTACACATTCACGCACATTAAGTACAAATATCAGGCACATTAAACACAACACTCACGCACATTGAGTACAAATCTCACGCACATTAATCCACCACACATCCGCACAGGAAGCATTCAACCGCACGGGAACCTTTCACTCTATATATATATATATATATATATATATATATATATATATATATATATAGTTTGGTCCCCTCTATTAAAGCATATGGTTATGGTGGAATACAACGGTTGGTTGGCCGTCTTTTTTCATCTTTTTGATCAATTGGTAACAGTGATAGGATATTTATGTTCACATAAATTATGACCTTATCGTATGCCTGTCAGGCGATCCAACCCCAGTGTCCCCAGTCTTGCACCATAAATTTTTACTATCTTGTGAATATTTAGTTCAAGTTAGTGAGAGAGTTTCTTAGTCATCATATCATTAAGTTTTTAGTTTGATCCGATCGTAATCTAGATTTATTTACCTTATTATAGTCATTTGACGATTAAGGTCATACAATAAATTTCGCCCAAAGCATACATTCGGATAGCAGTTGCAGATTCTCTGACGACATAAATAAAATAATATTTAGTGCAAGCATGATAAAATGTTTTGTATGCATATTTATTTAAAATTAAGACTCACATTTTTTCATGCATTTGACAAAGTTGTACCTTAAACTCAAGATCACCTACTTAGGGAGTCGTGTTTTCAAATCAGAGATGAAAGGTGTCTTGGAATATTTTTAGCAAGATAAGTTATAATCACTTGTCACTATATTTAATAGTTGATAGCGAATGCGTAATTTTATTTCAAATAATGCACCGTGACAATAATTTATTTCATTGGGAATGAGGATGAACTCACAATTTCATAACACCTTACTCTAATTTATGTCTTTTGTAGTTAAAATCATAATTTAAACTTTGTTAATCACAAAGGTCCTCATCTTCATCTTCATCGCTATGAATTGGTGAGATGAAAATAAATTAGGCTTTTCTTTGAGTTCATACAATTACAAAATACGAAAAGTTAGAGTTGGTCTGTAAGTAATTACGAGTTTATTTCTGTGCTTAATAGAAATTTTAAAAAAAATATGACGAATGACTAAAAGTGATTATGATAAAATAGTTGAAAGACTAATATTGATCGTTTTTATAATTGATATAACTAAAAGTGACAACATCAATAAAAATAGAGGACCAAAAATGAAAAACTTGTTTGATAATCAATTAATTAAAACAGGCTAAGTTAAATGTGATTTCTTTCGTAAATAATGGGAGGTCACAGGTTCGAATTTCAGGAGGGCATTGACTTTTTTTTTTATTTCAATAAATTAAAAAAATATGTATAGACATATTAACATATACTACATTGTAATAGAGTCGGTATACTAAAAAAAATAAAAATTCCTTCCTCCAAAAATATAGGTAATATTACTCCTCATTAAAAGTGGTATATTAGTACGAATTGATACTGATATTTCACTTTATAACCGACAAATTTTCTAATGATTTCAAATGCAGAATTATGGTTTCACGTGTCACATAAGGGCATGACCAAACCACAGTATTTACGTGTAATTTATCTTTCACCATACTTTATTTATAGCTTTCTTTTTTACTTGAGATCTTAGTACGACACTAGCTAGTGGAAGGAA